TCCTCTAGGGCAATGATAGTACATAACAAGATGGGCCACTCAGCCAAAAAAGTGTCCGCAGGAAGTATGCTCTTTGCTTCAGATGGCGCTGCAGTCTGTTTTGAAGCTCTCTTTCGTTTTTCCAGAAAAAGAATAGGAATAGCACCTCCTTGCGTGCGCAGATCGACTGCTGTTCATCAGCAGTTCGGGTACGTTCAGTGCGGAGTTTTAGTTTTTAAAAGTTTAATGACCTCTCGCCTTTCACTCTAAAGTCAAATTAAACAAAGAAAACCATCACCCTTTCCTCCGGAAGAGGTTTTTTGTCAGCGTAACCATTTTAAAAAAGCGTTCTTCCGAAATTTATCCCAAAACTTGCTAGTTTCACTTTGATTTTTTAAAACTCAAGTAGGGTAACTCTGTTCGCAAAGAGTGCGCTTTTGTGAAGAGGGCGCCACCAAATTTTGAGGACACTTTTTTAATTGGCTCAAAGAGAGAAGTGGCCCATCTTGTTATGTACTATCATTGTCTAGGGCGGAATAAAATGTCGCATGAGACTGGCTTGAAGTGCAGTTCGGTGCGCACGCTCCTGAATCTTGAACCGATGACATTGTGTGATGTTCGTTTAGAAAAGAGAGAAAGCGGAACGTTTTATCGTGACTCTCCTTTTTGTGTTATGTGACTTTAACTACCAGGACATTGTCTGGTATCTTCTAGGGGATGTTTTAAGGGGGTGTAGCTATGGTCAACACCCAAATGCTGTAGTTTTTGGTCTAACGCTTGCTTTTCTGCATCAAAGGCGGTGACATAGTACAAAAAAAGGTTACCAAGCAAAAAATTCAAGATTTTAGCCATAATAATCTCGAGCCATCAAAAATAAAGGATTGATTCAGCATTTTTAAAACCAATTTTATATTTTGTCAATCATCAACACTCATCAAGATAGAAGCCTAATATTTGGCATGGTGATTACTGTTGGTAGGTAGAACAACCTTACAGAGCCAAATTTGAATGTTCTGTACTGACTTGTGAGCCTTACAGTCCTTGCTATGCTCTACATTCAGGTCTCCAATGTTTTCAGATTTTGTAAAATAAAACAGGCCTAAAACTCCAAATATGTACCATAATCAGCAAAAATGCTCCTGTAAAGTTATAGAGAAATGTGTATAAAAGATTGTGTCAAATGTGAAACAATTCTGACAGTAACTTTCTGAGATCTACTCAATATAGTTTCGCAACCTGGTCAGATAATTCTGAGAAAACTGCAAAGAGAGAAAATTTTTGGTGAAGATTTTCCTACATTGCTGCCTCTCTTAAATGCATTTTCCAGCTATTTATAAGTTTGATAAAGGAATTAGGCTTCTAAAGATGGATCCTTGATATTGATATCTATTAAGATACTCCAAAATCCGAAAACTGATATTTTTTCAAAATTTTTACTGATCTGACCAGTGGATCCCCTTAAACTATTGCAAGCATACACCCCTACTCATTAAGAAAATTGCAAGAGTAATTAAATAACCAAATCCCATGAAACAAGAAATTTACACCAATACAGGAACATTAAAAAACTAATTCTAATCAGCAACCGCACAAAGCGTTGTCGGAGCTCCATAATTGGAACGGTTTTTTAATATAAATTTTGCCGATTAGAATTTGACATTTACACCGTCTGTTCTGAAAAACTCAGGAAAGGCAAACTTTGTTATTTGCTATGGATTGACAATAATGATGTCTCATTAACTGACTCTCTACTCTCCCGTGACACGTAGCACAAAGACATGTCATGTCTCCAGTAGATAAATCATCTCAGGTGTTCGTGTCATTATCAACGTGATCGACCCCCGGTGCTCATCTACAGCTGCCAGGTTGTAATCTTAGGTCAGGTATTGACTTCTCACACAGGTGGAGCAAATCCTAGAATTGGCCAATGTGTGCACGCCGGTGTGGAACTGGCGCCACTTCCTGTTGTTAACAAGGTTGACACGTCACTCGTCGTCAAAACTGACAGAGAAACCACTTTGCCGTAATTGACACCTCAGTATCATTATCACGTTGTATTTGTAATCAGATGAACATTTGGAGAAGAAGAAGAAACCATGATGGCCCTGAGAGTCTGGGACAAAGGCCGGCCTCCGATGTGAGCCATTTTTTCTCACGGGTCGTAAAAACATCGACTTTTCTTTCAATTAAAAAGGAACTTTACTGCATGACAAGACAGTCGTAGGCAGAGACTCAGACGAAAGCTGGTTGTTGCAGTGATCAATGTGACGTCGCTAGTCTAGTGGCTAAGTCACCACACTCGTACTCGTGAGGTTGTGTGTGGTGTCGGTAGTCTAGCTACCAGACTGACAATCGTGAGGTTGTGTGTGGCGTCGGTAGTCTAGTTACCAGACTGACAATCGTGAGGTTGTGTGTGGTGTCGGCAGTCTAGCTACCAGACTGACAATTGTGAAGTTGTGTGTGATGTCGGTAGTCTAGCTACCAGACTGATAATCGTGAGGTTGTGTGTGATGTCGGTAGTGTAGCTGCCAGACTGACAATAGTGAGGTTGCGGGTTCGGGGTTATGAGACTACGCTGAAGCCTATGTTGTGTCCATGGGAAAGACACTTTACACGAATGTTCCTCACTTACTTCAATCAAATCAAATGTGAACGAGTCTCCGACCGTAAACTGCGAAGGTTCTTATCAGAATGTTTTTATTTTAGAGCGTACAAAATGGCAGCGTGCACTGTATACCTCCCAGAAAGTAGAGATTGTTTCATTATGTTATCGAGCGGGCGGGGAAGAAATATACGGGGCATCACTACACACGCATCCTCATGTCACAGGCAAGCAGTCTAATTGCAGATAAGAGAGATTTGCTAGACTTCTACAAATGTATATGATGACAAATCAACAGAACTGGCACACCTTGTACAAAGAGATAAGTCTGCCTCATGGGGAAAAGAATGCTGGAAATTAGCTGAAATCTTCACACAAATTAACAAAGGAAAAGAACAGAAGTTAATGCGTATTAAATCTATAGTCAGACGCAATTATTTTTTGACGCATCAAAACAAAAAAATATAATATTATGTTTAGCGTCAAAATTGGGAATAAATGAATGAATTTTATCAAAATGTGTTTTTCTCAGAAAAGCCGTTAAAAGTTTCCTTAGGGCGGCCTCTAGTTGTTGCCCTAGTGTCCCTGTGTAGTTCTTGTACAGGTGTCAGGTCTGGGGCAGACATTGATGATCGTGGTACCTTGTGTGTACTTCTTCCAGCATAGAACGCTCTAAGTATCCGTCTACGTGTGTGTGTATGTTTGTGTATCTCTGTATTTACGACACAAGGTAAGAACAATATATGTATATCTCTGTATTTACGACACAAGGTAAGAACACTATATATATCTCTGTATTTACGACACAAGGTAAGAACACTATATATATATCTCTGTATTTACGACACAAGGTAAGAACACTATATATATCTCTGTATTTACGACACAAGGTAAGAACATTATATATATACATTTCCTTGCCCCCGAGCACGGGATCTTAGGCGGAGACTACTGTACTGTATATGACTTTATTGTGTTGCTAGT